TCATGAAACACGCTTCGCCAAGGACGCCGTTACAATGTACTTAGTAATCGCGCTCTCGCCATACTCAGGCATCCCGGTTGAATGTCCCACCCGCCCGACCCGCCCGTCAGGGGATCGCCCGCCCGTCGTGGGCTCCCGCCCGAGACTTCCTTCAGGAACGGCGCTTTCGCGTAGGACTTCCTCGAACTTTCACGCTCTTACCTTACTGCTCCTCCTCACTCTCCCTCCTCCTCCCTCCTCTCCTCCCTTCTCTCTCTCTCTCTCCTCTCTTCCATCATCCTTATGCCTCTCTGCCCTATCCCCTCTCCCTCCTCTCCCTCCTCCCTTCTTCCTCCCCTCTCCTGCCTCCTCCCTCCCTCGTTCTTTCTTTCTTTCTTTCTTTCTCTCTCTCTCTCTCTCTCTCCCCTCTCTCTCTCTTTCTCTCCTGGCGTTTTCCCTCTTCATTCGTCCCTCCCCCTCCCTTCCTCCCACTCTCCCTCGTTTTCCCTGTCTTTTTGCAGGGCCCACACCAATTCCAATCTCGGGCACATGTACGCCCACGAAGGATTGTCCGCCTGTTCAGGTTTGCCCGCCTGTCTAAGCCTGCCGCCCCCCGCAAAGAAAAATAGTCCCCCCCCAAAGGAGGTATGATCGAAAACAAAAAGGGCGGGTATCTAGGGTGTGGGGAATTCGTTTTGAATGACACGCGGGCAAGTAAGAGCGAACAGTCTTAGAATGATTGTTGTTGTTTATGTTGTTGTTGAGTAGTCAACTCTAGAGAATAAGTATGGCTGGTATCCGGAAGCGGTCCTGGGCGCTCTCGCCACGACGCCAGCTGCGTTGTCTTGGAAAACGAGGCTCCCGCTCGAGCGTTTGTTTAATGTAACAGTGGGCCGAGGAGGCCCGGCTACGACGACAACGGCTCCCGCTCGATACTTCCTCATTCTTCATTTACCCCGAGACACCCTGGCCAGAGATGCCCCCGAACTCAGGAACGGCGCTCTCGCTCCAGATTTCCTCGCAATTCAGTCAAGTTGGCGGGGGCCCAGCCACGATGACAAGGGCTGCTGCTCGATGCTTTCTCACGAACGGCGCTCTCGCTCGAGACGTTTTCATGATTCAGCCAAATCGGTGGAGGCCCACCTACGACGACAAGGGCTGCCGTTCGATATCTCTTCAAAATGTATTCGCAGAGGCCCTTGCCAGAAAGGCCCCCAAACTCAAGAGTGGCGCTCTCGTTCGAGACATTCTCGTAATGCAGGCAAGCTGGTGGAGGCCCAGACACGGTGACAAAGGTTCCCGTTCGACATTTCTCCATATGTATTCCGAGAGCCCCTTGCCAGAGAGGCCCCCGAACTCAGGAACGGCGATCTCGAGAGTTCCTCGCACTTCAGTCGGTGGCCGACAAGGAAGAGATTCCCCACGAAAAGGGGTGCAATCGAAAACGAAATGGGCGGGTATCGTGGGTTGGGGTATACAGAGCGCACGACACGCGTGCCAGTAAGAGCGGACAGTCTTAGCATGATTGTTGTTGTTGTTGTTGTTGTTGTTGTTGTTGTTGTTGTTGTTGAACTCTCATTTCCGAAGAATAATTATTGTTGATCCCCCCCCACCGGTACATATTGTTTTTCTCGATCAAAGTGTGCCCCTCGACGCTCGCACCTTTTTTTCTGACAGGGAAAATCTTGATGCTCAAACTGGGCCCCTGGCCCCCCAGATTACAACAACAACAACAACAACAACGGCTCCCGCCTGAGATTTCCTCACAATTTAGCCAGGACCGCCGCTCCCGCCCGAGATTCTTTCACATTTTATTCAGGAATCGCGCTCTCGCTTGGGACTTCTTTACAATTTATTCAGGAGTCGTTCTCCCGGCGCTCTGGGGTCGCGCTTTCGCTGGAGACTTGCGTGCAATTTATTGAAGAATAGCGTCGTTGCGTTGGGATTTCTTGCAATTTGCTCAAGCGCCGCGCTCCCGACACCCAGGCACCCAGGAGTCGCGCCCGTTGTGGCCCCATGTGCATGCCCTTCGTGGCCCCGCTGTCGCCGTTTGTGGCCCCCTCACTGTCCTACGTGGCCCAGTTGCTACCCTCAGTGGCCCCACCGTTGCCTTCTGTGGCCCCGCATTATCTGCCCTTCGTGGCCCCCGCTCGTTCGCGCTCTTCGTGGCCCCGTACACATTCCCTTCATGTCCCCGCTGTCGCCCTTCGTGGCCTAATTCGTGTCCTTCGTGGCCATGTTGTCGTTCTCTCTCGCTCTCGCTTTTGCTCGTCGTCGCCGTCGTCGTCGTCGTCGTGGCCGTTGTCGTCGACGTCGTCGTCGTCGTCGTGGTCGGTCCCTTGTCCGTCCCTCTTGGGGTCGGGTCGACGGTCCGCGGCCGCCCCGCCGATAAGCGCTGCCGCTGGCCAGGCCGATGGTCCGCGGCCGCCCCGCCGCTTGCCGGGGCCCGGCCTGCAGGGAAGAAAGGTATACCCGCCAAAAGGGGTTCGATCGAAGACGAAGGGGGCGGGTATCGAGGGTTTGGGAAGTACGCGTTATTGGACACTCGAGCAGATCAGGGCGAACAGTCTTAAAATGATTGTTGTTGTTGTTGTTGTTGTTGTTGTTGTTGTTGTTGTTGTTGTTGGATCGTAATAACTAACAGTTATTATTGTTGGACCCCCCGGCGCTCTCGCCTCGACGCCGGCTGCAGTTCCTTGGAATGTAAGTTCACGCTCGGGAGTTTCTAGGGTGCGCCGAAACTGGCCCCCCAACAACAACAACGCTCCCGCTCGATACTTCCTTGTCTACTCGGGACCAGGGCTCTTGCTCGCCGCCGAAAGCCGGCATTTCAACACAACTGGCGCTCCCGCTCGATATTTCTTGTTTTTATTCAGGACCGGCGTTCGCGCCTCGGCGCCGCAAGCGGCCCCCCTTAAAACAACGATGAAGCAAGCGGGGTCCTGAAGGAAACGGCCCTCCAGTTTTTTTCCGCTTTCGGGCTCTCGGGGCCCTCCCCGGGCCCCAGGACTGTGAACAAGAACGGCTCAGGATGGAGAGCTGGTTCTGGGGGAAGGTCCCTGGGACCAGGACCCGTTTCCCTGTGGACCCGTCTGCTTCGTGCCACAGCTCGGGAGTCTGGGGACGATTTGGCTCCCGACTCGGCGAGTGGAAGGGGGCCAAGGGCAATGGGAAGGAAAGGGCGGGAAGGGGCAGGGCGCCAGGTGTGGCGCGAGCGCAGCTGGCTTGTCTCTACAACTACTCAATGTTTATTTCTCATGTTTAATACTCTCCTCCCTCCCCCGCAGATAGCCTGGGAGTAGCGCGACCCACTCCGCCTTCCATCGTTGAAGCACAGGATGGTGCCGAGTTGGTGATCGTTGTCTTGTTCATTGCTTTGCCGATCGGCGCGGGCCCTCGCACCCCCCTTTCCCCCCCCCCCTGGAGCAGATCTTGGGAGAGTTCTCGGCGCCCGTGTCGAGCAGGTGGGGCCCCTCCCCCGTCGGACGCCCTGCTGCAAGCAGTCGCATTCGGCAGAGGTCCGGAGCCGGGCCTCCCCCCTCCCCCCCCTCTTCCGCACAGTGTCGAGACGCCGAACAAGAAGACGTTCGCTGGATTGCGCTCCCGTGCCGGGGGGCCCAAACATATGCACCACCACCACCACCTCCCTCGCCCCCTCCCTCCCCCAGGGAAGGAGGAAGGGAAGAGGAGGGTAGAGGAGAGAGGAGGAATCGACGTGGTGGTGGTGTACATTCTTTGGGTCCCCCCTGTGCTTCTCCGATCCGGAAGCGTTCTCGGTCCTCCCTGGCATGACGCGTCCGCGGCAGCGCGGGCCTCGCTCCGGGACCGGGGCTCCGCTCCTCTCGTTCGGGCAGGGCGCTCTCGCCCCGGAGCGGGCCACCTCCTCGGGATCCGAGCTCCTGTGCCTGGTATCTCTAGGCTCGTGGAGGTCGCTTCATGGAGAGGGAACATGCCGCCACATGATTTCCAGATGTCTGAAAGATGTTTCAAATCTGTTCTAAGTAAACATGTAAGAAGCATGTTTGAAACAATATCAGAACATGTTTTACACATTTCAAACACATCTTTATTTCAATGAGAGGATTGTTAGAGTGTCCATTGTCATGGCATCCACAGCTCGAGGCCTCCCAGACGGGGTCCGAGCAGATGGGGTCTGAGGATCGCGCCGCATCGCCGATGCATCGCCGCTGCACTGGCGATGCGGCTCGATGCGGAGCCCGATTTTCTCCACGCTGGCGTCGCCATTGCACCGCCGACGCCGCCAGTGCATCACCGCTGCATCGCCGATGTATTGACGATGTATCGACGATGTGTCGACGATGCGGCGCGATCGTCCGACCCATCCACTCGGGCCCCATCTCGGAGGCCTCTGGTATCGCCCGGACGTGTGCCTTTTTTCTCGGCGGGGACCGTCGAGGTGCATCTTGGATCCTCGTGCGAAAGACGAGCGCGCGAAGCCGAAGAACGCACGGGGAGAGGGGCGTCCGAGCGATGGCGGGTCTCTGCTCGTTCGTCCGCAGGCCACGTCGCCTGACACAGCTGCTCGGCTTCTGGGCGTTCTGCTCCGTGAAGGGCTGCGCCCGCTGCCGCCGGACACCCCCAGGCCGAGCCCTCCTGTGGCTGTGCGTTGGGACCGTTTCGGGGCCATCTTGTGGGACCTCTCGGGGGCCTCTTGGCTCCTCCGTGGCCAGTCTCGGGCCATCCTGTGCAATCTCGGGGCTGTCTTGAGGCGTCTGGGGGCCATCTTGGGGCCTTGCTGGGCCAGGTCATCTGAGCGGCATCCCGTTGCCGTTTGGGCCCACCTTGTTGCCGTGGGGGCCCACCTTGTTGGGCAGTTTCGGGGGCTCTGGGGAGCGTCTCGAATACTTTGTTGGACGTCTCGGGAGCAAGCCATGGGACACGCAAAAGCATTCGAGACGCCGAGTCCTCTACAATACGCTTCCCTCTCGGGAGCGTCTTGGGGCGCGGCACCGTCGACGTCCGCGATATCGCCGATGCGATCACCGCGGCCGTTTTCATCGAAGCTCGTGGTTCTCGCACGCGGAGGTGAGCACGCCTCTGCGCCCGCCGGCCGGGATGGCCTCCAGGGCTGCGACGCCGCCGCCGCGGGCTGCGCAGCCGCCGGCCGCGTCACCGCCCGCAGCGTCGCCGCAGGGGGGGGCACCGCCGGCCACGCCGCCGGCCACGATCGACCTGGTGTTCCAGGGCATCTGGTGCGCGCTCTTCTGCTGGGAGGCCATCCTCATGCTCCTAGACTGCGCGCTGGACACTCTCCGGCCGAAGCGGCTGTGGACGCCGCTGTTCCTGCTGCAGGCGGCCATAGCGTCTCTGTTCTGCCTGCTCACGGTGTCGGCGGAGGACCTCGACAGCATCCCCGTCGTCCGCTGGCTGTCTCCGGGGGCCATGTCCGCGCAGAAGGCCGTCGTCGCGCGGGCCTGGCCCTTGGGCAACTTCTGGCTGCACACGGCGGCGTCCGTGTGCTTCGGCGCCGTGGGCTACACGCGGATCCAGACCACGGGCACGCCGTGGCTCTGGACTACCGTGATGGTCCTGAGCGCCCTGCTGCACGCCGTGCACTTGCTGCTCAGGCTGGCGAGGCTGGCGCACGGCCTGGCCGCGGGGGCGCCTGCCGACGGGAAGCCTCGGGGGGAGAAGAAGAGCGAGTGAGTGCCACGCAGCACTCCGCAGGGTGCACTGGGTGTTCGCCCGCCCCTCCCCCCGATCATTGGATACCAGATTTTTTCGGTCGCGGTCGGTACCGACCGATCGACCCTCCAAATCGGTCGCGACCAGTGTTGGAATCTAAAGCAAAGTCGGTAGCGACCGATCTTGTCGGTCGCGGCCAGAAGATTTTGACATCCAATGATCAGGGCCCTCCTGATGTCCCGGGCGTGAGGGGCCTCCTCGGGCTTCTGGGGCCTTCTGGGGCTTGTTTGGGCGAGGGTCGAGGGATCGAGGGATCGAGGGTTCGAGGATCGACGGATCGAGGATCGAGGGATTAAGGGTCGGGTATGGACGATGATATGGTCGAGGGCTCGACGATCGAGGCTAGAGGATCGAGACCAGCTGTTGTTGCATGCCCGTGTGCAATATGTCCCGTCGTGCCGATTAGGTCGGCTGGCATCGATACTTGGTCCGCCAGATTTGTTTTGTTTCTTGTGCGATTGTGTGGCTTCCTTGGGGAAGATCGGGCACGTCTGCGAGCCTCCCTTGCATACTTGTGTTTCGCGTCCGTGTGTAGCTAGGGGGAAAAGGAGAAAGTCAGCCGCGACGCTGAGAATTCTTAGCGCTTCGTGTATCCCTACCCGCCCAGCAGAAGCGATTCCCGGGCGAGTTGTGTTGAGAAGTGAATGACATGAGAATTAGGAAAACAAAGAAGCTGGGACCAGCTCGGACAGCCGCCGACAATGGCCAACCTTGTGTCGTCTTGAGGCCTGGTGAAGGCCTCGAGCCGTCTTCGGGTTCTCTCGTGGCCCACTTGGGAGTCTCTTGGGGCTCTCTTTGGGGCCTTCTGCGATCCCTCGGGGGGCTGATTGAGAAGTTTGTTCGAGAGCTTGTCGGGCATTTTTGGAGCCATCCCGGAGACCATCGATCCACAAGGTGGGACGCTCAATTGACGCACCCCCCTTAGAGCCTAAATCAAAAGCTCTTGCAGCACCTTTGGGACTGCCTTGGGCCTTGGGGCGCTTTCGAAGGACCTCGGGGCCCTCTGGGTGTCCTTCTGGGCCTCTCGTGGTCCTTCTTGAGTCCTCGGAAGGCTCTCGGAAACCGAAAAACGGAGACGGCGAACACCGTTCTAGACTATGAGTTTGGGCCACTGGTGGCAGCCCCGGGAGGCTCCGTGGCCACCTCGAGCCATGTTTGGTGCCCTTTTCGGGCCTCGTCGGAGCCATGCTGGAGGCCAACTTGGACCAGCCTGTGGCGTCTTGGGGCATCCTGCAGGCCATACTGGGCGATCTGGGGCCGCTCAGTGCCATCTTGGTCGCTCCACCCCCTCTTGTGACCCCTCCTGGCACGACCCCCAGAGAAGACTTTTCGGTAGCAACTCATGGGGGCCTTTTATGTCCTGGTGATTCCGTCTTCAGGGTGCACTAGCGTGCGCCAGCGTCTGGCACTCTATGATCAAGCGTTGACCTAGCAGAGAGACCTTAAGCCCGTGGGCCCCACCTGCCTCGCGTCCGCCGGACCAGGCGCGGGAGGCCGGGCGACGCGTCGGGAGACGAGGAGCAGGGCGGGCCTCTCCCGAGGTGGCACCCGCAGGGCGAAGACCAGCGAACGCCATGCAGTCGGACCGGGGCACAAGGCCGAGGTCGGTTCGGGGAGGAAGCCCTCGTGCTCTTCGTGTCCGTTGGATGCTCTTGTGCAGCCTGGGGGAGGGTACCCTCGAATGCCCCTCATCCTGGCCGGTGGAGGGTCTCGTGTTCCTGAAGGATGCTCTTCTGTCCTGTCCCAGGTCCAACTGTGCGCGTACGGATTGGGAACTTTGGCTTAGCGCCTCGCAGCGCCAGTTCTGGCCAACCACGCTTCGGCGCGTCACGCTGTCCGCGTCTCAGCCCCCAGGCTCCAGCGCTCCGAGCCTTTTCCGAGCCTCCCGTCCGTCGGAGCGGAGCGACACGCTATCCGCTCGCAGGGCATAGCGTGTCGCCGGGGCCGCCGCCGCAACACGCTGAGTAGAGGTTCCCGACCGTAAACGAAAACATCGACGGAGCTCCCAAAGTTTTTTTTTTCTTTCACATATATATATATATATATATATATATATATATATATATATTCTCATACGCACCTCTCCGAGGGAGTAGAGCTCAGAGGCGATTAATGCGCACGCGTCCGCGATTTTTCTGGGCGTTTCGCTCGGGACATCCTCGAAATTCTGAAAATCGGTGGCACCCCTCACGCAGATCGTGACGTCAGGGTCCAGAAACACATGGAATTTCAACATTTTAACATAACACCTTCAAAAACACATTGTAATTTCAATAATTGTGACCCCGATTCTCAGGGAATGGCGGTTTCGCTTGAAAAATCCTTCCAAAATCGAGCCCCAGACCCCGCCTCGGACCTCCTGGAACCTCCTGGGGCCTCCTGGGGCTTTCTGAACCTTCTGGCACCCCAGACCCCGCCTCGGAGCCTCCTGGGGGTCTCCTGAAACCTCCTGGGGCCTCCTGGGGCCTCCTGCGGCCTCCTGGAGCCTCTTGGGGCCTCCTGAAGCCTCCTGGGGTCTCCTGGGGCCTCCTGAGGCCGCCTGGGGCTTCCTGGGGCCTCCTGGGGCTTCAGAACTACATGCACACAGAGACACACATCACGCCCAACACATCACACGCTAGACAAACATAACACACACACAACACCTACAACACACAAAAAACACGCACCACACAAAGCATACATCACACACACACACGCACAACACTCACAATCCTGGGGCCTCCTGGAGCCTCTTCTGGTATCCAAGTCGGGCCTCCTGAGGCTTCCTGGGGGGTCCTGGTACACACATCGCAAGGTGAGGCAACCCCTCTTGCGCTCGAGTGCGACTTCGATGTTGCATTTCACTCCTGCTTCAAACGCCCCTTCAGTTTTTTGCATGAGCCTGGGCACACACGTGCCACTTGTGTGTATATATATATAGATATATATATGTGTGTGTGTGTGTGTGTGTGTGTGTGTGTGTGTGTGTGTGTGTGTGTTTGTGTGTGTGTGTGTGTGTGTGTGTGTGTGTGTGTGTGTGTGTGCAGGTTTTCCGTACGTCTACAGGGGCCATGTTGGTCCCAGGTCTCCAGCATGGCTTCCCGAGGCCCCAAGAATGCCCCACTGGCTGCGAGGTGGCCCCAGAGCCTCCCAGATACCCCCCGAGAGGCCGCCATCGGTGGACAGCCTTGCCGTCTTGGAGTGCTGTGCGGTTCTCGCCTTCTCGCCTTTTCGGCGTCCGATGGGCCTCTGAGCCCTCAGGATGGCCCAACAGGACCTGAAGAGGGCCTCGAGAGGACCTCAACAGGCCCGAGCAGGGCCCGAGCCCCAAGAGCATCCCAGAAGCGTTTCCAAAGGGTCTCCAGATTCGGCCCGCTCGCAAATCTGAGGCTCTGCCCAGTAAGGATTTCATCCGTGGCTCGTTCATCTCTCTCTCTGCGATTGGCCGGGGGCGGTCTCCACGCCAGATTGTCAGTCACCTCCAGTGCACAGGCGAGGATGGGAAGCGCTGCGGCGTGGAGAAGGCGGAACGGGAAGAAGGGGCTGTCTTGTCATAGCCGAAACCCTAAGCCGCTTACGCCCAGAGGGCAGGGCTGTTGGGGTTCGCTAGAAGAGGGTCTGGAGGGGATGGCGTGGCAAAGACCCAGCCGCGCGCCCGATTCGCTTATTCCTTCTGCATCTCGTCAGTATGGCAGGCAGGACATTTTCCAAGCTGGTCGTGGCTATCAGGCCGTTGCAAGAAATGAGGGTGCTGCCTGGCCAGTGCAAAAGGAGTCGCCGCAAGCGCGACTGGCGCTTGCAACGCCACCATCAGCATGCTCTTCCGCTGCCGCCACCGCCACATCTCCTTGGGTCCACTGCGCAATGAGAGCAAAGCGCGTTCAAGCGCTTCGGTCATTCCCATACCTCTGCTGTCCTTTTTGAGAGGATCAAGTGCCTTCCTCACCTCCATCTCATCCAGTGCACTTGTCATCTATGACGTTGCCACGCTGCTTTCGGCTTTTGGCCCGCTGGGCCGGCGAACTCCCGCCTGGAATTGCCCCAGCCAGCGCCGTTGCGGTCGAGCCACGGACTTCATTCGTGTTGTCGCATGTCGGGAGCACTCGGGGCGCCCGTGTCCAAGAGCGTCTTGAGAACGAGGTGTGAGGTGTGAGACAGATGGGAATGCCAGAACGACGCGTTGGGTCCTTCATTGGGAGCTCCCCTTTTTTTCTCTGTCTCTCAGGTGCGCAGCTCGCTTCGTCGCGGCCCAGCGCTGTGGCTTGACCGGTTCGTGCGCTCGCTGAGTCCGCGACCCAAGAGTGAGGCCCTTCCCACTTCGCTTCCGGTGTCCCGGCAGATGCCCGATCGCCGCGCGGTTGCCCTGCGGCCGCTGACCGCGCAAGTGCGGTCCGTCCTCTCTACCCTCCTTCTCCCAGTCTATCGCAGCTGACCGACCCGCAAAGGGTCCCCATCTTTGAGATCGACGTCGCCTTGTTTCGGCGCCGGTCTCAAGGCTATGCACATTTTTTGGGGGGCACACCCCCAAGACTGTCTTCGTCTTGGGCCTGCAGACCTTGCACCCCCCCTGGGAAAACGCAGTGCAACTCCTGCAGGTCGTGCCGTATAACTCGGCCGGCGGCCCTCTCTGGGGGCAGTCTCTCATCCTGGCCCCGCTCCCGACGGCCCCGAGGCCCGGAAGCGGCCCCCTGGAGGCCGACACCGAGCAACAACCGTAGGCGACAAGGCCACACGCAGCGACGATGAAAGTTGCACCCCTGCTCTCGGGCACTGGCGGGATGGGGATGGGCTCGAGGGTGGCGAGCTCGGCGGCGAGCGAGGGGGGAAGGCGACGAGGAGCAAGCCTTCTCGGCAGGCGGCGGGACTTCGTCGAAGCCCTCGCGCCTCCCGGGAGGTTCCCCGTGTCCTCAGGGAAGGCACGCAGCCGGTGAGCCTCCGAGCCTTCTGAGAAGGCCTTCTCCTCCTCACCTCCCCCCCCCAGGCTCGCCACCGATCCGAGGATCGAGGACCTCCGTCGTCGTCGTCGTCGTCGTCGTCGTCGCCGTCGCCGCCGCCGCCGCCGCCGCCGCCGTCGCCGTTGTCGTCGTCGTCGTCGTCGTCGTCGTCGTCGTCGTCGTCGTCGTCGTCGTCGGAGCGGCGGCCGAGCCGCCCGCGCCGCGCGAGGCGCCCGCGGGAGCCGCCGCGCGGAGGGGCGAGCGCGCCGTCGCCGCGAGGAGGGCGGGGCCCTGCGCCCGAGGGGGGGAGCCTCGAGGGGGGAACCCTCGAGGGGGGAGCCTCGAGGGGGGAGCCTCGAGGGGAGGGGGGAGCCTCGAGGGGGGAGCCTCGAGGGGGGAGCCTCGAGGAGAGCCTCGAGGGGGGAAGCCTCGAGGGGGGGGGAGGAGGACCTGGGCCTCCCAGATGGGGTCCGAGTAGATGGGGTCGGAGGATCGCGCCGCATCGCCGATGCATCGACGAGGCGGCTCGATGTGGGGCCCGATTTTCCCCACGCCGGCGTCGCCGATGCATCGCTGATGTCGCAGATGCATCGCCGATGCATCGGCGATGCCTCTCTCCCGGCTCAGGTAAGCCTCGAGCCCAGATCCCTTCGCGTTGTGTCTCGACGGGAGGTTTTTACACATTTTCGGCTTCAGGGGGCTGTACCGGGCCCCGGGGCCGTCCGAAAACGATTCGGGACGAAAAACCGGTCCCGGGGAAGGGGTACAGACCTCTGGGGGTCGGGGGGGGAGCCTCGAGGGGGGGGAGCCTCGAGAGGGGGGATCGTCACGGAAGGGGCTCGTCACGGAAGGGGTCGGTCCGAATTCTATACGCCGACGCTTTTTCTGGCCCTGCAGTGAAATTTGCCCGGGAAAACGGATCCTGGTGTATCGGGATCCTGGTGTATACATGTTTCGTTGTTTTCTCTCTGGAAGCAGAACCAACAAATGCACACCACACCACCCCTACTTCGCTCCCGATCTTCAAACAAATCCTGGGATTGAAGAACAACCCGCCACTGGTCATGTATATGTTCCAGCTTACGTTACATACTATATATACACATGCTTCCACATGTGTAGATATGTACACCTGTAACATATCACTACATTCATGCACACACACATATATATATATACACATTTGTATGTATGCATGTATGTATGTATGTATGTATGCATGCATGCATGCATGCATACATGCATACATGTATGTATGTATGTATTTTCCCTACCTAGGCTCTGCCTAGAAGGGTTCTTACTCTCTTGGCTTAAAGGGCCGGGCAGTGGGAACCGGCCCGGGCGGTTCCCCCAGTATCTGCCCCGCGGTTCCCCCAGTTATGTCCCTTTAGCTTAGCGTTGCTTATCTCATCGTAGCTTAGCTTATTTCATTTTAGCTTAGCTTAGCTTCATCTTATCTCAGGTTTATCTTAGCTTAACATAGCATAGCATAGCACAGCGCAGCATAGCATAGCATATCATAGCATAGTATGACATATCATAGCATAACATAGCATATCATAGCGCAGCTTAGCATAGCATAGCATAGCATAGCTTAACATAGCACACCGCAGCATGACATAGCATAGCTTAGCATAACACAGCATATCATAGCATGCGCAACATACTATAGCATATCATAACATAGCATAGCATAGCATAGCATATCATATCATAGCGCATCATAACATGGCATAGCATAGCATAGCATAGCATAGCATAGCAACTAATGCTGCTTTCCTAGGGGCTCCAACTTCCAGGTAGGGTCGCACTGGGGTAAGCATAAACATACATATACATAATTATACCGACATGTAGCTATGAATGCGTGTATGTATACATATGGGTGTGCTGTTCATTCTAGCGCTGCGGCCCGGTGCAGCTGCTCGCGAGGCGCCCCGCGCGCACGCCAGCGTCTCGGCTCGCCGCAGTGGCCGCCGCCCCACTGACACCCAGGCTGCCGGTCGAGGCGCTGCCCGAAGCGGGGCAGGATGCCGACCGGCGAGGCCCCGGGCCTCCGCCGCGAGGTGTGCCCGGGGACTTCGGGGCCGTCGAGCTCGTCGTCGTCGTCGTCGTCGTCGTGGTCGTCGTGGTCGTCGTCGTCGTCGTCGTCGTCGTCGTGGTCGTGGTCGTGGTCGAGCCCCGCGCGTAGACGTGGGCGAGATCCCGCACGGCGAGGAGGAACCGGCGGCCCGGGACCTGGCTCTGTGAATTTTCCAACCGTCGGGCTCGTCCTCCTCGTCCTCGTCGTCGTCGTCGTCGTCGTCGTCGTCGTCGTCGTCGTCCTTCTCCTCCTCCTCCTCCTCCTCCTCCTCCTCCTCCTCCTCCTCTCCTCCTCCTCCTCCTCCTCCTCCTCCTCCTCCTCCTCCTCCTCCTGCTCTGCTCCTCCTCCTGCTCCTGCTCCTCCTCCTCCTCCTCCTCCTCCTCCTCCTCCTCCTCCTCCTCCCCCTCATCCTCCCACTGCTCCTTCGGTCCTCGGGGGCCATTCTCGGGCACCAGGACCAGCAAGAACTGATCCGGAACGAAAGCTAGCCTCTCGGGGAAGCGGTTGGGATTTATGGTGCCGCGGGTCGAGAAGTCACAGCGGCGGATGTCCTGGAAGAGTGACCCATTCGCGCGCTTTTGCTGGCTCCCAGAGATTTGCCTTGCTCGGGATGGGTCCGCGCAGCTGCGCCTCGCCGAGGGCGTTCCGGGGGTGCCGGGGTCGTCCTGAACGGCAGCTGGAGGCCCGAGTGATGAACCGAAACCGAGTGTTAAGTCGGGCATGTCCCTCCACAGGTGGAACATTCAAGAATAGTTTTAAGAAGTAGTCTGGGGACGCTTTCTCGTGCTCTTCTGGGCATAGTTGAAATATTTGGTTTGGCAATTTTCCATGTTTGTTCCACTCTGTATGAAGACATGCCCAACCTAACCCGAAACCGAGTGGTCATTCGCCAGAGTTGCATTTGGTGCGGCCATGTCGCGTGGACGCAGGGAGGGGCGGCAACGCCCAGAGCACGCAGGCATCTGCCGCCGCATCGCATGCAGCGATTGGCAGGCCGCGCGATTGGCAGGCCGCCAGGTGTCCATACCGCTACCCTTCTACCGTTTTCCCTTTTCTGGGCCTCGCGGGAGGCCCCCGTCGACACCGCTGGATGCGCCTCGCAATCCTGGTCAGAGCGCACCCCGGGAGAGGTCCGGGGAGCAGCGGCATCGTTACCTTTTGGTCTCCCCACAACGGGCCACGGTTTCCCAGGGCCCCTCCGTGCGTGCAGCCGCGGGAGGGGCACGGGCGGGAGGAAGGTGATGCTCACCGCCCACCAGACCACCCCAACCCAACCGGGAGGCCGCGATCTGCCCTCCATTTCCGGGGGGGGGGGTCGGGAAACGTTGAAAAGACACGTCTGAAGCCCGTACCCCCCCCCCTTTCGCCACCCGAAGTTCGGGGGCGAAGTTCGGGTGTTCGGGTCGGGTTGGGGTGGTCTGGTAGGCAGTCCGAGGCTCAGTCGCCCCGGGGCCTCCAGGCGTGGCGAGGAGAGCCACGGCGGAGGCGTCCGCCTCGGGCTTCTCGCCACCTGCGTGGGCCGCCTGCGGGGCCCCAGTGGGGGCAGTCGGGCAGCGAGAGGTGCGCGAGAAGGCGGCCCCCCGGGCACAGGGAGCCGAGAGAGCCTCGGGGCCCCTGGCACGCAGAGGGACGTCGTCCCAGGCTCACGGGCGCCGAGCTGGCCCCAGAACCTCGTGTGCCATCCGGGCAACTCTGCGACTCTCGGGGCCGGAGTTCCGCGCGGACTGTAGGGACCATGTGACGAACGAGCAGCGCACACCCATACCCATAGGAGGATCCGAAGGAGGAGGACTGGCTATGGGTATGGGTGCGGGCTGTCGGACCCTGGGGGAGGCTCCCGTTCGAGCCGGGACCCCCGTCCGACACCCCCGTCCGACAACATGCACCCATAGCCCCCTCCGACCCCCCTAAAGGTATGAGTGTGTGCTGTTCGTTCGTTACTATAGGTGCGAGATGTCGGATCGGTTTCCCCGTTCGAGCGGGAGCCCTGCCGGGCTCCGACAGCTCGCACCCGTAATACCAATAGAGCGCCCTCAACGCCTTGTGCCCTTCCCCCGTCCTCCGCCCGACAGGTCTGAGTGCGGTGAGTGCGCGTGTGTGCTCGTTCATCCTGGGCGGCCCCCCGGGCCTCAGACCTCCACGGGACGTCTAGATCCTCCGCTTCTCTCGGCCACGCGCAGAGAGGGGGTGGGGGGAGGGGGAGGGCTTCTTAGAAGCACCCCTGCTCCTTAGAGGGCGCGGGCCTTGTCTATGGATGCAAGGCCGGCGCCTTCTGAGAAGCGGTCTCCTTCCAAGAAGCCCTCCCCCCTCCCTCCACCCCCTTGTGCGCGCCTCCAAGTCTAGGGAGCCAGATGCGAACCCTACCCCTACCCCCCACGATTTCTGATGGGGAGGGTGGGGTTCACTTCGCTCGGGATCTCTCGAACGAATGGAACCCCACCCTCCCCCTCAGAAATCGTGGGGGGTAGGGGTAGGGTTCGCATGTGGCCCCCCTAAGGTCTGGATCCTCCGCTCCTCTCTGTTGCTAGGCAGGGCGCGGAGGGAGTGCCTGCCCAGCACCGGCACCTGCGTGGCTGGGTGGCGGGGCCGTCGCATCCATTCAGGAGGGAAAAAAACACAGACACAATTCATCGTCGATCCCCAGGAAAATACGGGAAAATCTGGGAAGTGGGGGGGAAGACAGAAACTCAGAAAATATGGGAAAATATGGGGCATCTGGTCATTGGTGTGTATTTATTTGTGTGTCCCAGTTTCCCTTCGTCCCTCTCCGCCCCCCCCCAGGCGTGCAGGCCCGGGGCCGAAGAGGTATGCCTGCGGCAGCAGGTGCGGCACCACACCTGGTCCGGCGTCGTGATGGAGATGACGGACGGGCGGCTGGGGTTATGATGTTCCAACCTATTTTAGCCTCGACCACTAGGCAGAATTTCGAGCGCCCCAGAAAGTACCGAAACTCCAGGGTTTTCACGTGTCGGGCCCTGGGGGACACTCGTCCGACACTGCTTCGACACTGTTTCGACACGCTTTTGGCACTTTTCCGGGTGCTCGAAATTATTTCTGGGATGTGGTCCTCGAGTAGGATGGGAACAGCATAAGGCTGGGGTGCACTCGGGACCGAGGTAGAGGATCCAGGTCGGTTCGGGGACCGGGAAGGTGCCCCAATGTCTCAGAGGGAGAAAAGGTACCCATACCTCTACCCTTCCTTCGCTTTCCTCTTTTTGGGCCTCCTGGGAGGCTCTCGTCGCCACCGTTGGATTCGCCTCGAAATCCTGGTCAGAGCGCGCCCCGGGAGAGGTCTGGGAGTAGCGGTATGGGTACCTGGTGGTCTCCCCAAGGTTCCTCGTGCCTGCTGGATGTTCTGTTGCACCCTGGGGAGGGTACCCTCGGATGCTCTTCGCGTTTTGGCTGGCGGAGGGTCTCGTGTTTTTGAGGGTTGTTCTTCTGTTCTAGGTTCGACTGTAAAGGAAGTTGGAGTCGGCTGGGGGGCTGAGGTGGCCCAGCAAAAGTTCTGGCCAGCAGGAAGGGGGGGGGAGGGTCGACACGGTTTTTTGCCGTTTTCGGTTTCTGGGGGCTGTTTTCGGGCCCCGGGACCGCCAATCACGGATCTGGAGTGAAACATGCGATTTTCCCTTTTCTCATCTTGTCTTGGCCGATTTTCTCGGGGCCTATCCGGCTCAGACCCCTTGGCCGCCTCCAGCAATGAAGCCCTGACCAGACCAAATTACCCCAGCAACGCTCCCGAATAGCACCAAAGGTGAAGAGGCGGGTCGAGGAGTAGGAGGTCGGCTGTAGAGGTCCCAGAAGCTCGCCGGAAGCGAACATAACGAGAAGTGCAAAGTCATTCGTTTTCCATAGCTTTTGGGCGCATTCCAATCTTTTGGGGGAATCCTTGGGAGGCTACGTGGCCACTTCGAGCCGTCTTGGAGCAGTCTTGGGATATCTGGGAATCACCTTGGAGGCCATCTGGAGCCATCTTGGGATATCTCGAACCATCTTGGAGGTCGTATTGGTCTCTCTGAGGCCATCTTAGCCAACTTGGGCGCTCTAACCCCTCGTCGCCCCCCCAACCAGATCTGGGGGGAAGGGGTAAGGGGAGGGTCAACTACCCCCCCGAAGGACGGCCGTCTCGCTCGTTCCCACCCGCTTTCCCATCACATAGTGGCATTCGAGTCTCAGCATGGGCATGGGCCGCCATCGACCATCATCGGGAACCAATGCAGACGACAGCCAGGTGCGCGACGACCGCGAGGTGCGCCACGCGTGCCAGGGCACCACCATCATCCGTTTCCAACAACGATGCACAGTGATCGCGGGGCGCCCGCGCATGATCGTTGCCGGAAAGTCTATCCAGTTTTTCTTGTCAAGGATGATGGGCCTGCGCGCAGCAGGAAATATGCTGGCACCCCCTTTGCCCTTGGGAAAAAATAAAAAGCATCGCAATGTGATCGCATGGAGCTCCCCTTCATGACCCAGATTTTGCCGCAGCGTGCAGTTCCTATCATTTTTTGACATGGGTGGTGGGGGGGTGTCGGCATTGGCCCGGGTTTGGTCGCCGGTCGGGTGGGGGATGGTGTGTATATCAACAAGGAGCACTGCGCAAGCTAACCACAAGCCGCAGGCCACCTCGCTTAATCCCACCCGCCCTCCCAACGTACACCTAGCACCCGAGCCTCAGCACATTCAGCGGCCGCCACTGGATGGACAGCCTAGCTACTGGGAGCCAGCACTGGCGCCAGGTGCGCGAGGCTGGTGAGGTGCGCCACGCGTAGCAAGCGCGCCACGCGCACACGCACGCCAGACGCCCCAGGGGCCCGTGCGTGCCAGGCTCCGGTGCGCCAGATGCGCCACGTGCTCCGCATGGGCCAAGTATCAGGAGGGGAAAAAACACACAGACACAATTAATCGTCGATCCGCAGAAAATATGGGAAAATATGGGAAGTGGTGGGAAGACAGAAGCCCAGAAAGTATAGAAAAATATTGTAATCTTTTCATTTGTGTGTATTTATTTGTGTGTCCTGGGGCCCCTTCACACGTGCGCGTGCAGAGCGTGTCAGGTGCGCCACTGACGGCACACGTCAGGAGACCTGTCGACCCCCCCCCTTCACCATCCTCGCCAGCAGATCAAATGCAACATGGCCGTGGGTCGGCCGGCCACCACGGTGCACGGTGTTGGCGCCCGCAACCACTCGCCATGTGTTTTTGCCAGGGACGGTGGGCCTCCGCGCATCGGGCAACGTGCTGACACCCCCGCCGCCCTTTTCAAACGACACTACGAAGTGATCGCGGGACGTCCGCGCATGTTCCAAGATTTCGCCGCGAAGTGCACTTTAGATGGTTTTGCACCCTGGTCGGGGGCCGGTCGAGGGGGGGAGGGGGCGTATCGAGAAGGAACAGGGTCGCCAATGGCCCCTTTTGCTGGCCCGCCGCGCGGCGAGGAGGGCGGAGCAGGGCGAGGAGGGTGAGGAGGCGGATGAGGATGAGGATGAGAACGATGATGAAAACGGGATGATGATGATGATGATGATGATGATGATGATGATGATGATGATGGTGATGAGGATGAGGATGGTGATGGTGATGAGGATGAGGATGAGGATGAGGATGATGATGATGATGATGATGATGATGATGATGATGATGATTGTGATGAGGATGATGCTGATGATGATGATGGTGATGGTGATGATGATGATGCTGATGATGATAATGATGAGGATGATGCTAATGGTGATGTTGACGATGACGACGATAATGATGTTGATTATGATGACGATACTGCTGATGATGCTGCTGCTGGTGCTGATGTTGATGATGATTACGATGACGATGACGATGACGGTGATTATGATGATGACGATGTTCAGAATGATGATGCTGATCATGGTGATGATGATGAAGCTTATGATGATGATGATGATGATGATGATGATGATGATGATGATGATGATTATGACGATTATGATGGTACTGATGATGATGACGATGATGATGATGATGATGATGATGATGATGATGATGATGATGATGATGATGATGATGATTATACCATGGTGATGATGATGATTATACCATGATGAAGATGATGATGCTGATGATCATGATGATCATGATGATAGTGGTGGTGCTGATGTGGCGGAGGAGGAGGAGGAGGAGGACACGGACGAGCCACCGGATTAAGAGGCAGAGGATGAGGAAGAGCAGGAGGACGAGGAGATCGAGGGCCACATTTGTTCGATCGAGGATCAAAGGCCTGCAGCTCGAAGCTCGACGGACGACGGGGAGGAAGGGGAGGAGGCGGATGAGGAGGATGAGGAGGACGATGTTGGTGTTGATGATGATGATGATGATGATGTTGTTGCAGTTGTTGTTAAGGATAATTGCAATGATGGGGATGATGATGATGATGATGATGATGATGATGATGATGATGATGATGATGATGATGACGATAACGGTGACCGTGACGCTGATGATGATGATGATGATGATGATGATGCTGCTGACAATGACGATGCTGATGATGATGATGCTGATGCTGGTGATCATGATGACGATAAACATGATGACGATGTCGATGAGGATGACGATGATGCTGATGGTGATTACGATGATCATGATGACGACGACGATGACGACGATGACGAGGATGATGATGGTGATGATGACGACCACGATGCTGATGATGATGATAATGATGACGATGATGATGCTGATGATGATGACATGATGATGACATGATGATGATGATCATGATGATCATGATGATGGTGGTGGTGATGATGAGGAGGAGGAGGAAGAGGAGGAGGAAAAGGACACGGAAGATCGACGGCCGCATCCGTTTGGGGAACCAAGGGCCCGCAGTTCGAAGGTCGAAGGAGGGGAGGAAGAGGAGGAGGCGTAAGAGGAGGAGGATAATGATGATGACGACGATGGTGATGAAGGTGGTGTTGTTGTTGTTGTTGTTGATAAGGGTTGCAATTATGATGGCGATGCTGATGATGATGATACTGGTGCTGATGATGATGCTGCTGACGACAACGATGATGCAGATGATATTGATGATGAGGATGATGATGATATTGGTAATGCTGATGACGATGCTGATGGACAGGACGATGATGATGATGATGATAAATGCTGCGGCTGATGAGGATGACGGTGTGACGGTAATGATTATGATGCTGACGATCATCATGTTGATGTTGATGCTTATGCTGATGCTGCTGCTGTCGACGACAGTGACGATGACGGGGACGATGACGACGACTATGATGATGATTATGATGATGAGGATGACGATGATGATGATGACGGTCATGATGATGATGGTGACGGTGATGCGATGGCGGTGGAAATGGTGATGATTATCATGATGAGTATGATGGTGCTGCTGCTGATGATGCTGCTGGTACTGATGATGATGCTGATGATGCTGCTAATGATGCTGACGCTGCGATGATAATGACGATGATGATGCTGATGATGATGATGATGCGGAAAGGTGATGGTGATTCTGACGATGATGATGATGTGATGATGATGGCCATGCGGATGCTGATGCTGATGCTGCTGTTGTTGACGACGAAGGCGATGACGATGACGATGGCGATGATGATGGTGATGAGGATGCTGAGGACGATGATGATGTCAATGCTGAGAACGATGATGATGATGATGATGATGATGATGATGCTGCTGATGATGATGATGATGATGATGATGATGATTACGATGACGATGTCAATGACAGTGATCGTGATTATGATGCTGACAATGATGATGAGGAGGAGGGGTAGGAGGAGGAGGAGGAGTAGGAGGAGGACAACGATGGTCATGATCACGATGATGATGATGATGATGATGATGATGATGATGATGATGATGATGATCATGCTGATGATGATGATGATGATGATGATGATGATGATGATGATGATGATGATGATGATGATGTTGTTGATGATGATGATGACGATGATGATGATGATGCTGACGATGATGATGCTGATGATGCTGATGCACGTGATGTTGATGAGGATTGCGATGTCGACTATGGTGATGATGCGGCTGAAGATGATGCTGATGATGATGCTGCTGCTGATGATGCTGATGAGGCTGATGCTGCTGCTGACGGCGATGACGACGATGATGATGGTGATTATGACGACGATGATGATGATGATGATGATGATGATGATGATGATGATGATGATGATGATGATGATGATGATGATGATGATGATGGTGGTGGTGATGATGATGGTGATGGTGAAAATGATGATGCTGATTAGGATCAGGAGCAGGATGATGGGGAGGAGGAGGAGGAGGAGGAGGAGGAGGAGGCGGAGGATCAGGAGGTTGGTGAGGCGGACGATAAGCCGAAACATGATGGTGATAATACTACATGATGGTGATTATGATCATGATAATGCTGATGATGCTGACGATACTGATGATGCTGATGATGATCAGAAGGATGAGGATGAGGATGATGAGGAGGAGGAGGTGAAGGGGGATGATGATGATGATGATGATGATGATGATGATGATGATGATGATGATACTGATGATGACGATGGTGATTCTGATGATGGTGATTCTGTTGATGATGATAATGATTATGATTATGCTGATGATGATGATGAGGATGAGGATGATGATGATGACCATGACCATGCTGATGGTGACCATGATGATGATGATGATGATGATGATGATGATGATGATGATGATGATGCTGATGATGATGATGATGATGATGATGATGATGATGATGATGATGATGATGATGTTGATGGTGATTATGATGATGCTGCTGCCGATGATGATGCTGATGATGCTGTTGCTGATGCTGCCGATGATGATGATGCTGATGCTGATGCTGCTGATGAGGATGATGCTGATGATGATGCTGATGATGATGCTGCTGCTGCTGATGATGATAATGCTGCTGCTGATGATGCTGTTGCTGCTGCTGCTGCTGCTGATGATGATGATGATGATGGTGATGATGATGATGATGATGATGATGATGATGATGATGATGATGATGATGATGATGATGATGATGATGATGATTATGATATGATGATGATGATCACGATGAGGAGGACGAGGAGGGGGAAGAGGAGGAGGGAGGAGGAGGAGGAGGAGGAGGAGGAGGAGGAGAAGGAGGAGGAGGAGAAGAGGAATAGGAGGGAGAGGAACAGGAGGATGATAGCGATGATGATGAGGAGGTGCAGGAGGAGGAGGAGGAGGAGGAGGAGGAGGAGGAGAGGAGGAGGGAGGAGGAGGAGGAGGAGGTGGAGGAGGAGGATGAGGAGGAGGAGGAGAAGGAATAGAAATAATAATGATAAATAATGAGAAGACAAATGGAGGAGGAGGAGGAGAGGAGGAGGAGGAGGAGGAGGAGGGAGGAGGAGGGGAAAACGGAGGAGTAGGAGGAGAAGGAGGAGGAGGAGGAGGAGTCGGATGGATGGGGATATGTCTGACATGTGGCGACGACGCCCCGCCCCGCCTTCCGCAGGACCTCGGCGGCGACCTGCCCGACGTCTCCGAGGAGGGCGAGGAGGACGAGGACGCCCGCAGGCGCCCAGGCGGAGGCGGAGGAGGAGGAGGAGGAGGAGGAGGAGGAGGAGGAGGAGGAGGAGGAGGAGGAGGAGGAGGAGGATGAGGAGGAGGAGGAGGAGGAGGAGGAGGAGGATGAGGAGGAGGAGGAGGAGGCGCAGGAGGAGGACGAGGCGGAGGAGGAACTGCGCGCCAGGGGGTTGCGCTGGCACCAAGTTGCAGTGCTTCCAGACCGCGGTCCGACAGAGGAGGTGGGGGAGGGGGAGGAGGGCAAGCTAGGTGCGCTCGCGTCATATCTGACATCCTACCCCTCCCTCCCATCCCTTACCATGGCGCAGATCCCCTCTCTACTTGCACAGTCGGATGTCGAGCAGGGCAATGATCTCGAAAGGGTACGCGATGCATTCTAGGGCACGGCATGGCATGGCGTAGAAGAGCACCGCGAAGCGTAGTATCAACCTAGCACTGCATTGCATGCCGTGGCATGGCACGGGAAATGACGGCAGCGCTGCAGCGGGAGCACGAGTCGAAACGAGCGGAAGCGCGGAAATGAGGCCAGCGCTGCAGCGGGAGCACGACTCGGAACGAGCGGGAGCACGCCGGAATCGGCCCGGGAGGCCTCCCGGGCGCCGGAAGCAGAAATTCAGCATTTTCAAAAGAAAAATGTGTATTGGAATGGCTTGTTTTCGGCGCCGCCTCGGAACTCGATTTTCCGGGGCCAGCCGGAACCAGCTCCGGACCCGGCCCTGGCGCCGGCCCGGGCGCCGGCGCGGGCGTCCGGCCCGGGCGCCGGCTCGGGCGCCGGCCCGGGCGTCAGAATCGGCCCGGGAGGCCTCAGAAATTCAGCATTTTCAAAAGAAAAATATGTATTGGAATGGCCTTTTTTCGGCGCCGCCTGGGAACTCGTTTTTCTGGGACCGGCCGGAAACGGCTCCGGACCGGGCCCGGGCGCCGGCCCTGGCGCCGGCTCGGGCGTGCAGCCCGGGCGCCGGCGGAAATGAGGCCAGCGCTGCAGCGGGAGCACGCGTCGGAACGAGCGGGGCCCGAAAATGAGGCCGGCGCCTCAGCGAGAGCAGCATTTTGGAAAACATGCAAGCGAAAACCCTATTCCTGGGAAACCTGTGTGTAAATTATCCCGGCAAAGCAACCGAACAGCGATGTGTAGGAGCATGTCTGGAAGCATTCCCCTTAAGATTCAGACGAGAATCCTGTTGTAGCATTCTGCTGTTCTCGCAGTCGTAGTCGCACTCGCGATGGCAGTCGCAGTGGCAACGGCAGTCGCAGTCACAGCCTCAGCCTCAGCCTGCCTCAGCCTCAGCCTCAGCCTCAGCCTCAGCCTCAGCCTCAGCCTCAGCCTCAGCCTGCTTCAGCCTCAGCCTCAGTCTGCCTTCAGCCTCGGCCTCAGCCTCAGCCTGCCTCAGCCTCAGCCTGCATCAGCCTCAGCCTCAGCCTCAGCCTGCCTCAGCATCAGCCTCAGCCTCAGCCTCAGCCTCAGCCTGCCTCAGCCTCAGCCTCAGCCTGCTTCAGCCTCAGCCTCAGTCTGCCTTCAGCCTCGGCCTCAGCCTCAGCCTGCCTCAGCCTCAGCCTCAGCAGCCTCAGCCTCAGCCTCAGCCTCAGCCTGCCTCAGCATCAGCCTGCCTCAGCCTCAGCCTCAGCCTGCCTCAGCCTCAGCCTCAGCCTGCTTCAGCCTCAGCCTCAGTCTGCCTTCAGCCTCGGCCTCAGCCTCAGCCTGCCTCTGCCTCAGCCTGCATCAGCCTCAGCCTCAGCCTCAGCCTGCCTCAGCATCAGCCTGCCTCAGCCTCAGCCTCAGCCTGCCTCAGCCTCAGCCTCAGCCTGCTTCAGCCTCAGCCTCAGTCTGCCTTCAGCCTCGGCCTCAGCCTCAGCCTGCCTCAGCCTCAGCCTGCATCAGCCTCAGCCTCAGCCTCAGCCTGCCTCCTCAGCCTGCCTCAGCCTCAGCCTCAGCCTGCCTCAGCCTCAGCCTCAGCCTGCCTCAGCCTCAGCCTCAGCCTGCTTCAGCCTCAGCCTCAGTCTGCCTTCAGCCTCGGCCTCAGCCTCAGCCTGCCTCAGCCTCAGCCTGCATCAGCCTCAGCCTCAGCCTCAGCCTGCCTCAGCATCAGCCTCAGCCTCAGCCTTCAGCCTCGGCCTCAGCCTCAGCCTGCCTCAGCCTCAGCCTGCATCAGCCTCAGCCTCAGCCTCAGCCTGCCTCAGCCTCAGCCTCCTGCCTCAGCCTCAGCCTCAGCCTGCCTCAGCCTCAGCCTCAGCCTGCTTCAGCGTCAGCCTCAGTCTGCCTTCAGCCTCGGCCTCAGCCTCAGCCTGCCTCAGCCTCAGCCTGCCTCAGCCTCAGCATCAGCCTGCCTCAGCATGTAAAATCATGCCCAGGAATGGAGTCTGGGAGCTCGAAGACCACGAAGTGGCTTACAGTTGGCTCTGGGCACCCAAAATGTGGCCCGGGAGTGGAGTTCTGGAAACTCGAAGACCACGAAGTGGCCTACAGTTGGCTCCGGGCATCCAAAATGTGGCCCGGGAATGGAGTTCTGGGAACTCGAAGACCACGAAGTGGCCTACAGTTGGCTCCAGGCATCCAAAATGTACGCCGGGAATGAAGTTCTGGGAACTCGAAGACCACGAAGTGGCTTACAGTTGTTTCCGGGCATCCAAAATGTACGCCGGGAATGGAGTTCTGGGAGCTCGAAGATCACGAAGTGGCCTACAGTTGGCTCCGTGCACCCAAAATGCCCAAAATGTACGCCGGGAGTGGAGTTTTTGGGAAGTCGAAGAGCACGAAGTGGCCTACAGTTGGCTCCGGGCATCCAAAATGTACGCCGGGAATGAGTTCTAGCAGCGCCAAGAGCGATTTTGCGAGGATGTCCAAGGCGATTTGGGCTTCGACGGCAGCCGCGCCGGGTCCCGCCCCGGGTCCCGCCCCGACCCCCCTGAGGAGTCATGATGCTCTCTGTTGACCCCACTAGAAACCTATCAGTCTTCGCTGTTAGGTAAAAGCAGTGCGCGGGGGGCGGGGCGAACACTCCCAAGACGTCATCAGGGGAAGAGGGAGAGTAGTATTCATATTGAGTAATTGTTGAGGGAGGAGTCGGAGGGAGGAGTGGGAAGGGGGAGGGGGAGGCGGTGGAGGAGGATTTCAGTGTAGTGCTAATGCCCTTCAGCGTAGGCATTTCCCTGTGGAGGTGCTCTTGAAGGTTGAAGGACAAATCTTCTGGTCCTTGAGCCTGTGCAGGGACTGTTGTTGGCACCTGGTGATGGTGGATGGTATGCGTGGCCGTCAGGCCGGGGAATTTTCAGAGTACCCGCCGCGGTGGGCAAGCCGTGCTGCCTGGGCCCACCCGCTCCGCTAGGGTGTACAGAGTGGTCAGTGGTACCTCCTGGTCTGAGGTGAGCGTTGCCGATGACGTTCGCGGAGGCAACGCGCCCCCACCATCCCGCTGCTGCGCACTCCCCTGTGCTGGCCGGGGTCGTGGGCCCCCCCCCTCCCCCCCCACTTTGGTGCAGGTGGCCTGTCCTGGACATCTCGCCTCGGCGCTACGGGCGCGGCTCCCGGCCGCGCCGCGCCCGGCCAGCGCGCGCCTGACCCAACAAAAACTGGATGGCATGCTTGGCCAGCGTACCCCGAGACAGCCACCTGTGTTCGACACGATCGGTTTGGCGGGGCGATCTTCACCGTAGCCCCTATCGCCTCTTACCGTACAAGTGATGCGTCATGATGATTGTCGCACCACCTGTCCAGAGCACGAGCTGGCATCCCCAGAATGGCGTCGGACGCTGGCTCCCTAACCTTGTATGAGGGGGCCTGGGGCAGCTTACCGGGGACCACGAGGCAGGACGGCTTGCTGCCCTAGTTGGGGCATGTGCGCCTGCTACGCGGCAAGGGGGATCGCCATCCTGGCGGTGATGGGGGAGGGACCCGCTCCGCAGCAGGGCAGCATGGGCATCTGGTCGGCAGCATGCCAGGACGCTACTTTTGGGTTGACAAGGGGACCTGCGCCATCGCAGGTCGGATCGCCACCCCAGGTGTGGCACGGGTAGGCAGCTCTCAGACAGGCCAGGTCGCCCTCCCCCCCAAGGGTGGACGGGGCGGGCCCCCTCCACTGCCGCCGATGTCTCCGCTGTGAGCTGTGAGGTGCCAAAGAGGGGCCTGTTCCACAGGATAGCCGACCGTCGCCCTGGCGGCTTCCGGGGGGGACCTGTCCACAGCTGGGCACCCTTCCACCTGAGGGGTGACAGTGGTTCCCTGCTCCAGCGCGGGTTCATCGCCACTCTAGGGGTGACGGTTGGTTGGTTCCCCAGCAGGACTGATCGCCGGCCAACGGATGACCGAGGGACCTGCTCCACAGCACTGCTGATCATCGCCATCCCAGGGGTGACCGTGCAGCCGCTCCCCAGCGGGACGGATCGCCTGTTTTCGGACGACAGACGTTGGCCCCCTCCGCAGCGGCAGGGCGGAGCGCCACCCGTGGGGCAACAGGTTGGCGCGTGCTCGTCCGCAGAACGATGACCGTCGTTCGACCGCCAGTCAAAATTCACGCCGATCCAATTAGTTGCGCCCATAGCGTCTTGTCCCCCCACCCCCGCAAGCATACGCCAGCGTAGAGCGTCATGTAAGTGTCCCCCCGGCCGCGCATCCACCGCCCGGCAGGCGGCTGCACCCCAGCGCTTGGTTCTTGCTTATATTGCGTTCGAGGTGTACTGGCGATCTAAGCGGTCGTCGCCATGTAGGCGGTCGCGGCCGTTTGGGCCAGATTGGCGCCGCCGCAGCCTTAGCCTGCCCGCCCGCCGCGGCCTCCAGACGACTTCGTTTCTCCTGGAGATGCGGGTGATGGGCGGAGGCGCCCTTGGAAAAGGGGTTATAAGGAGTGGGGATGGGACTGAAGCCGGGCTCGGTGAGATCCGCCATGGCATGTTGCTTGCTGCCGCTGCAGTGCCAGCCTTCGCCAGCACAGGGTTGCAACCTTCGGTCCTCCAGGATGTCCCCCCCCGCGCCTTCGAAAAGCTGGGCCTAGGGAAGG